TATATATGCAAGGATATATAAACTAACACAAGGGTAAACAATATGAAACAAGATAGAGGATGATATGATTAATGAGACAATAGCGATATGAGCAATGAGCACAAATATAAATAAACGCCAAAGCACACTCAGACACAATCAAATAATCACGGAGTTCGGACCTTCCATCCTACGTCTCTGCTCCCCACTCCCGGGGAGAAATCAACTATCACGACCGGGTTTTCTACGTTCACCCGAATAACGTTTACAACCACACTATGTCAGTTTTCAACATTCACCGATCAACTTATACAATCACTCACATGTTAGACCCTAGAGGGGGGTGATTAGGGTCTTATGCTAATTTAATCCGATTTAAATGCCAATTAAAATTAATTAACAAGTTGTATTCTTACAAGATAGATGTACAAGAGTTATAAGCAAGAATAAGCTATATACACAAAGTGATATATCCTATATGATGAAATATATATGCAAGGATATATAAACTAAGGGTGATATAAACATAAACAAGATAAACAAGATAGTGGACAAAGTGAACAATAGATAATGGCGACAAGAATGATATGAACAATAAGCACAAGTGAGACACCAAGACAATCACAAACACACAAAGATGATCACGGAGTTTGGACCTTCCGTCCTACGTCTCCGCTCCCACTCCCGGGGAGAATCCACTATCACAATCGGGTTTTTTACGTTCACCCGAATAACGTTTACACCTCATAATTTCTCTCACGGAGTTCGGTCCCCACGACCTACGTCTCCGCTCCTCACCTCGAGGAGATCTACACTATACACTCTCACAATGTGGCTACACTCCACCCTCACAATACGGTTTTCTAGTTCACCGAAAACTTCACAACACACTCAATGTAACAAATATAAATTTGTTCTCAACTATGGATGAGAACACAATGAAAGCTCACACTCAATGTTATAACTCTCACAATCCCAAATATATTATGAATGTAACTACAATAAGCTCAAGTGGGTGTGTGTAACAATGAGATAAAATCAAATCTAAACTCAATACAAAATTAGCTTTAATAGAGATGATAATTAACAAATAATTAATACATAAAAGCTAGAGTTAAGTTTAGGAAAACTTCTCTAGATGACAAGAGAGAGATGGATTGAATGTTAGAACTACAGCGGTCGACCGAAGAAAATCGCGGTCGACCGCGAGCAAAGAAAGAAGCGGAGAAAAGTTCCAGACAGTTCGTCGGTCGACCGGCGGAAAAATCGGTCGACCGGCGGTACTGTAGCAGGTACATCTGATTTTATAAAATTGGTTAAAAATAGTAAAACAGT